TCTTATGTTATTGCATTTAGATAATCATTCATAGCATGTAGCGAATTGTTATTAGCACTTGGCTTCCATTATCATTGTTACCATGCATAGTACACAGGAAGTCCCATTTGCTAGCACGAGTCAAACAAGCCAATGCCCAGGTCCCTACGCTGTTCTGATGTAGAGATATTGCTATTTTTAAATGGTTGCTAGGTTATACTGTTTTATTGCTATGGGGACATTTGACAGGTTAGTGATGATACATCAAAGCTTCTTGGCAATATGAGTGATCTTAATCAACCCCGATGTTTCTATGACAGTCTTTATGAGTGTCAAAAACTGGACTTGAACATTATGTATTCCTGGTGTTGGGTTGCAGCTGGAAGGGCATTCGCTGTGTAAAACAAATGCTGGATAAGTTGGCGGTTCATTCCGTTGTGGCGACCCCTGATTAATAAAGGGACTAAGGGAATGAACATTATGTAAAAATGGCTTGCCGTTTATTTTTGAAAATACAACGATAGATACGTTTGTTTTCAAGGACAGAGTAGTATAACAGTATGTTGGCTTTCTCAAGCCAACATAACTTCGGTTCGTTTGTAGTGTAGCTGTGTGAACATAAACAAAATCTCTGCATGTAATACGCTCAAAGTTCAATGCAAAGGGAGACATTGGCTTTTACAGAGTTAGCTTAGCAAAGCCTAAAGCAAACAAAGTTTGGTGACTACAAACAAATATTTTGGGGTTATTGAGATCATAAACCCCACAGGTAACACACGTACACCCTGCACAGTAAAGGGGCATAGCCAGAGCCGCTGTAATGTTATAGCAGACAAAGCTAAAATGCCATCCAAACGCTGCTATTTCCACAGAGCTTTTTCTATTTCTGTATTTCAACTTCCAAATCACACGGCACAAAGAGAGAAGTGCTTACAACTTAATTTTATGTTGCAGAGAATTATAAAAAAGATACAGCTCTAGTATTTGACAAAGGACAGTTGAGTGCTGGATTCAGCTAAACTCCTGAAAGGAGCAGCTTAAACCACAATAAAAGAAGCTGTGGAATGTGAGCCACAATCTGTAAGTATATTTATTTGTTAAAAATGATCTATTGCATGCATAGTTTTTACGTAAACAGTATGACGTAGCAAGGACATAAACAAAGATGTAAACAATGGGAAATACTTTTTGGCACCATTAACAATTTAGCTACACATTTATATTAATCCGTTAAACCCCTGTAAACACCCACAATCTTCTCCAAAGCAAATAAAAGCATATTGAAGAGGGTGGGACATATCACATACTAAAGAGCATTTGATTGGTAAGAAGATGTGATGAGAAAAAGAAGTTTGTGGTGACGTCCAAAAAAAAAATCATTGATTAATTTAATTGGAAGTGACAAACTGAACATTTTGGATGCTTACATATGCTAAATGTAAATTGTGTCACTGTTTTGGAGCACACTCATTTATACAGATAAGCTTTTGGAGAACATACTGATACTAATATCTAAAATACTTTATTTTCATTTCATAAAAACATATAAGTGCATATTTAGGTGGGATTATTGTAATACTCTTCTCGCTGGAGTTCCACCATGTGCACTCAAACCTCTATGACGGGGATGCCTAAACTCAGCCCTGGAGAGCCGGTGTCCTGCAGATTTTAGCTCTAACTTGCTGTAACACACCTGCTAATGAGTTTAGTATGTCTAAAAAGAGCTTGATTAGCTCATTCAGTTGTGCCAAAACACCGTAGGACACTGGCCCTCCCAGGATCAAGTTTGGGCATCCCTGCTCTACAAATTATTCAAAACACAACAGGATGACGCAGTGCTAAACAAGAAAACCCACATTACACAACTCTTAACCTCCCTAAACTGTTTTCTGGTTGCAGCTTGCATTCATTTCAAGCCCCTAATTCCTTCTTATAGAAGAGCTGGGATCTGCACCTCCCATCTCCACTTGTGTAAATGTTACCCTCATCCACCTAAACCTCACTCCCATCTGGGTCATGGCACCAATGAAACCACCCTGGTTCTATTCGCAGTGCTGTGAGAAATGAAAATCAAACCAAGGTATTTGGCATGAGGTAGGCATACTATCAAAGTTGCTAAAGACTGTAGCCTCTATTATGACTCTGTAGGGCACCTATTCAGCTAAGAGGAGTAAGGTTACCTGCACTGCTCCTACTAGCTGGCCTCCAGTACAATCATTTCCATCAGGGTCATGGCACCAATGTAACACCTCCGGTTCAATTCACACTACTTTTGCACAGGAAATGGACTAGTATCTCTGGCACAAGAGATGTGCCAGAACAAGGAAGTTTAGGAGGCTTTGGTGTCAGTTGCAAACCTCTGAGACCAACAGAGGGAGATTTACCTGCACAGGTCTTACTAGATGCTCTTCATAACAGCCCCCCTGCATAACCTCATTCCCTTTTAGGTCAAGGCACCAGTGCAACCCCTCTGGTTGAACATGCACCACTTTGAGCAGGATTAAAACTGGTGTCTCTGGCATGGAAAGGTGATGTGCCAACAACTACAATAAATATTACATAGTGTCAGTCTCTAGAGTACTGCTTTTAGAGGCCAGCTCTTAAAGACTAGCTTCTATTACATTTGCACTTGGGAAACATGGTTATAGAACATATTACAATGGTTTTAATTGGATTCAATTAAGAACACATGTGATTTTTTTTCTGTATGGCTTAAAACAACATTTTTTGTTAACTATTTGTGAAATCCCTTTAAATGCTAGTGGATGTTCATATACCAAGATTTAGCTCAATCATATAAAATGAAGACATGATGCCATCCATCGAGGACTTCAACCCAGGCTCATTCTGAAAACTGTACCTTTATATACATTTCTGGAGAGTGCAAAATACGTTCAAGGAGGTACATTTGTACAGTTTTTTTTTTTTTTTTTGCGCGAATCCACCAGAGGCAGCTGTGTATTCTTTTTAAGATCTCGTCTGCTGTTCTCGCGTAAACCCACCAGAGGCGGCTGTTGACTGATCGTTTGACTGACTGACTGAACGATTGATTGACCCACCCTCCTCCTTCCCAAAACCCAACATATTGCATTGATTGACCCGCCCACCTACTTCCCTAAACCAAACAACAAGTTTCAAAAGGAATCCAGAAAAAGGACCCCTCGTTTGATTCTTACCACATTTTCAGATTTTACCACATTCTCACCGTGTTATTTACTCGTTTATTTTATTTTTCGGTTTCTGTTTTTGTCTTACCTGCTTTCTGGAATTGTTCTTCACCAGATTTGAACCCCATTGATGTGGTAAACTCATCTATGCGTATCAAGTCCACCGACATACATGGCGAGCTAACGGAAAAAAAACTGGTTACGGCGAGAAACGAGCTCCATACGGAGGTAAGTGGTCAGCTGGTAGGCGCGAAAAGGAACAGCGTCATACTGCCCTATAGTGTTTGTTTTAAAAATATGTGTGTACCTCTGGCTACATAATTTGCGGTCTCCAGAAATGTATATAGGGCTATGTTTTCAGAATGAGCCTATGTTGAAGGACTTCCAGGACAACACATACTAACAAGTACACATAGACATCACCTATAAGCAATAAAATTGCAGGTTAACTATGTCTTTATATAATAACTTATATTTGATTAGAACTTTAGCTTAATTTGATTGTAATACAATAGTATGCACCTTCCAAACAGCTCATTTGAAACAATATTGTAAAAAGTGCTATATAAATAAACTTGAATTGTATTTAATAAAATATACTAAACCCTAAAAGACATTTATTTTAAATTTAAAAGCATATCATGTAAGCTTAGATTTAGAAGTTCATGAATTTCACATGTTCTTAAATGACTAAAACAACTATTAGCAGAATCGTTAAGCAACATTTCTCCAATGCTATAAATTGTACGACTCAAAAAAAGCAAGAGATTCAAGAAATAAAAAAAGAAGCCACGAGTAGCAGGTGGTATTTTGTAGGAAATGCATGCAGACACTAACAAAGTGGGTACAAAAAAAAGGATATTTTGCACACTAGACTTTTCACATAAGCTAATGACTCAGGTGTGTTTGAGACTAGCTGTCTGCAATAAACCTACACTTCACACAATTTCCTACAAGACAAGACTGCAGCTGTACGCAAGGGGAAATGCTACGCGGTTATGCGGCATGTGATATAATTTTAGCTCATAACTCTTTATTGTATAACGTGCAGTCACTCCACGAGAACAGCAGAGGGTACAGCAGCAGGAAGACATCGCTGCTTATCTCATTTGGTTTTTAGGCAGCCAATCTGCCCAAAAGGCTTTATAGCTAACAATAGATGTCATGTTGTGCCTTAAGGATTGTGATCCAAGGAAAAAAGAATTCAACCGCACACATACAAGACATTATTAGGTTTTCAGTGGTTTCATTAACAAAAAAAAAGGCTGATATAACTGATGAGCCGCCACTGGACACAGATTGTGTACTGCATTTCAAACAACAGTAATTTCAGACCAGCTACTTTGTCATCTGAAAAAAAAAAGAAAAAGTAATTGTGGTATCCTGACTACAAAAGTCAGATGAGTAATCAATACATGCTGGGCGGTAGGTGATGAAACAGTGAGAACGAGCACTCAGATGTTGCTTTGTTTTTTAAGCGCTCTATGGCAAAAGAAAAGCTATTAAATCCACTGAAGAGCTCTGAGAGAATATCATGGCATCATAATGTACCACAAATCTGCTTGAATTAAAAGTCCTGAGGGTCTTTTTTGTATATCAGTACATGAAATTTGGTTTGTGGTTTTGTGAGGGGAGTGAGAAGTAAATAGAATAAACTAAATTGGCTGTAGTGTGAATTTGAGAGTATATGGATATTTCCCAGCACTGGGTTGCAGTTGGAAGGGTATCCGCGGTGTAAAACATATGCTGGATAAGTTGTCAGTTCATTCCGCTGTGGCGACCCCTCATGAATAAAGGGACCACGCTGAAGGAAAATGAATGAATTGAATTAGGTTTGCGTTCGTGTTGACTTACAAACTCTGGCGTAGCTCTGCTGTGTCTCTGGATGTTCCCAGCGATTGCAGGTTCTTCTCTAGTGTGACCACTGAAAGGAACAAACAGAAACCTTTATGCATCTGTAATTTTGTCACTTCCGTCTCATGGCTTACACCTCATGCTGTCCTTAATGGCTTACAATCACGTTGAAAAAAACCTTTTTAAACTCACCGTTAGCATTGATCTGAAAGATGTTCGAGGAGGTTTCCTGGAACACGTCCTGCAGCTCTGAGGGACTGACTTGTGTAGCTGTAGGGGAAAGAAAGAAATGTTGTAAAATTGCATTTAAATCATAAGTATCAGGAGCTATATATATATATATATATATATATATATAAATATATATATATATATATATATATATATATATATATATATATATATATATATATATATATATATATATATATATACAGTATATATATATATATATATATATACTGTATACACACACACACACAGTTAGATTATTTGTTTGGCTGCAAATAATTACTACAACTAAAGTAAATACAGAAAAAAATAATAATTTAAATAATTAAAAAAATATATATTATTTTTATAATAATAATACTAATATTATTATTGTTTCTATTTATTATTATTATTATTAATATTATTATTATTTATTTTTAAATTAATTAAAAAAAACAAGAAAGCAAACAAAAATCAATCCCAATCATTTGTTACCGTCTTCAAATGTGTTTATTTTTTCTCCTATCACAAACAATGAGTTTGATTTGTTAAAAAAAAAAAAGATCTTAAACTGAGATTCACTAACAAATAAGTAATAAATTGCATTTCAAGAAAGAGAAAAAAAATATATAGCTATTTTATTAGATACAATTAATTGTAATCATATAAAACAAAATGTTTAATCTGGTGTAGATTTTTTTTTATTTAATCATTTATTGATGTATTGTAAATAAATATTTTTGTAATACACCAGAAATACTTTTTTTTATTAAAGAGGTGGCCCAGTACGGTATCTTATTTTAAACTTCAGTTGAGGTGTAATGTAGCTGTGTGAACATAAACAACATCTCTGAATGCAAAGAGAGACATTGGCTTTTACAGAGTTAGCTAAGCAAAGCTTACGGCGAACAAAGTTTAAGGACTACAAAAAATACACCCAGGTTAGTGAGATTACAAGTGCTTCTGGTTACACATTCACCACATGCATACACCCTGTGCAGCGAATAGGCGTGGCCAGAGGTGCTGTAATGTTATAGCATAGAAAGCTAAACTGCCATCCAAACGCTGCTAGTTCCACAGAGCTTGTTCTATTTTTATATGTGGGCTTCCAAAGGACATGACACAAGGAGAGAAGTGCTTAAAATTTTATTTTAATTATGTTCCAGAGAATTCTGAAAAAAAAAAAAAAATTTATATATATATATATATATATATATATATATATATATATATATATATATATAGCTAGCATTTGACAAAGGACAGCTTCCAAAATCTATTCCAGTTCAGTACTGGATTCGGTTAAAACTCCTCCAACCGATGAGGCTGTGGATTATGAGCAACAACCTATATATTTTTATTTGGTAAAATTGATCTATTAGCACATGCACAGTTTCTACCGTTAACGGTATGATTTAGTGAGGACGTAAACAATGAGAAATGCTGTTTGGCATAGCTAACAATTTAGCTACAAATTCATTTGTATCAATCAAACCGCTGTAAATAGCCATAATCTTCAGCAGCACGTGCAGCGTCTCTCTATGTAGACGCTTTCAGTATCTCTCAATGCAACCACTTTCCATGCGTTCTACACCTTAAAAAAGCAACTCGCAAAAGATATGTGAATGTTTCATATTACTTACACATGCTTATTACGAATATAAAAAACCTTTGTCAGATTTTATTTGAGAGAGCAGTCATTAGGTTCAGCTGTGTGCTCTTCATTTTTCTGTCTGATTCAAGCTGCTAACAGCTGCTCTGACTGGACTGTCAGGGTTCTGCCACTCTGGTCTTTGTAAATTCTTGTTTTGGTGGCAGAGCTCTGACACTACCCATGTCCGGTCCTGTTTCTGTCTCTGTGTGCGCGCGCGCCGTCGTGGGTGTACGCAGAGTGTGCGCGCTTCTGCTTGACGCGGCCGCGCGCGCGCTCTGCGTCCCTCAGACGCGTGCGCTCTTGTACTCGTGTTTGTTTTCGTTTGTCAGCAGCGTGGTGTTTCATTCCCAGCGTCTCAGTCTTGTTGGTTTCGGTTTTGGTCGGCGCTGGGATGAAGCATGCACGCTGCGTGTGTGAGCGCGCGGTGAGTGCTTTCATTCATCGTGTGCTCGTGTCTTGCGTCTTTTGTCAAAGCACATGGCTCGGTGTTTACATTGGTCACGTGCTTTTGTCGTGTGCTTCAGTGTTGTGTTATGTGAGCGCATGGCTTGTATTGTCTCTCTGTGTCATGCGCTCTCCCGTCTATTGTCTAGTCCCACCCTCCTTGTTAACCCATATTTAGTTAATTGTGTTTACCTGTGTTTCAATTTACTTTTTTGCTTTATAATCCCCCTCATGTTTTCAGTCCTTTGTCAGTTCGTTGTCAATATTACCCTGTCGTGTTGTCTCTAGTCCTGTTTTGTCCTGCCAGCCCTGTCAAGTTTGTTTTTGCCTTTTTAATTCATGTTTTCCCCTTCGGGGTAGTTTTGTTTTGCCTTTTATTTTTATTTGTAGTTTATAATAAATATTCCTTCATTTTTCTGCAATTGGGTCTGCACTCCTTTTTTTTCCCTCACCGACCGTGACATGGACTGTTTAAACAGCTCAAAAGCACGTGCTTGTAGGGGCATGACGTGGAGCCGATCCATGAATAACAGCACTTTATGGTAGCTGACCAATCAGAGCCTCTTGAGGGGAGGCCTTTCAGAGGAACTAGGAAATATGACAGTCGTGTTCATGTTAGCTTTGTAGTATCAAAGTAAGATATAAGAAAAGAAAAAAAAAAAAAAAAAAATATATATATATATATATATATATATATATATATATATATATATATATATATATATATATAATTTTTATTTTTTACAAGTGAAGCATGAGTACACATTGCTTTGCATCTTATAAGCACAACCAAGCCTTACAATTACACTGTTTACCACCCCTTTAAGAATGCATTAACAATTAACAGTAAAGAATATATAAATTAATAAATTAAACTAAAATAAATTGTTCCGTACTTCTCTAAATGGTTTGGTACATACAGTGCCAAACCAGAGCCAAACAAAGCAGACTTAATAGCATTTGTCAGGTTTCTGGGCAACAACGAAGCCTTAACAGACTGAATCGTGAGCCACCAATGTGACGTTTGGACACAGCAGTTACTCTTCATGTAATCTGAACACCCTGATAAGAACAGGTAATCATCAAGAGCTCTTAATCAGAATCCACATCACCACCCCTGTATTAAAGCACAGCCCACAGACCCTGCACACATACACACAAATCTGCTGTCAAAATGACTGTAATTGACATGCTGCTTTTTCACAACTCTAATGCACTCGCACTTAAGATGGAAAATCACAGGCATTTTTTTTCTCCACAGATTTATATTGGATGGAGAGCAGAAAAGAAAAAGAAAAAAAGCAGCAGATATCTGATGTTCTTTCAATAAGATAAAATGTATTTATTTATTTTCAGGAATTACATTTAAAACATAATTATTATTATTAATTAAATTATTACGATTAAGAAAAAATAGAAATATGTTATATATACCTTATTTTAAGATTATGCGGATGTTTATTAGAATACACGATTTTGGATTGAAAATTAAATAAAATCAAAATAAGGTCTCAAAATAAGCTACACATTGCGTATTTCATTTCATTACATTTTCTTGTCGGCTTAGTCCCTTTATTAATCCGGAGTCACCAGAGCGGAATGAACCACCAACTTATCCAGCAAGTTTTTACGCAGCAGATGCCCTTCCAGCCGCAACCCATCTCCGGGAAACATCCACACACACATACACTCATACACTATGGATAATTTAGCCTTCCCAATTCACCTGTATCACATGTCTTTGGACTGTGGGGGAAACCGGAGCACCCGGAGGAAACCCACGCGAAGGCAGGGAGAACATGCACACAGAAACGCCAACTGAGCCGAGGTTCGAACCAGCGACCCAGCGACTTTCTTGCTGTGAGGCGACAGCAATACCTACTACACCACTGGCTTGCCCCTTTGCATATTTATATTTTTAAAACAAAAGTATTTTAGCATGCTTAAATATTATAGGCTATACCAAAAGGTAGCCATTTCTGCATAGAAAATTAAGGCATTAATCTGATTTAGCTACTTTTTAAGTTAATAAGCATACGTTTTAAATAAATAAAGAGTTTTGTCACATCAAATAAGAGATAAAAAAATAATAATAAAAAATAAAATAAAATAAATAAACAAACAAACAAACAAACAAATATAAAAGGGACTAAGCCAGAAAAAAACGAATGAATAACTGAATAAAAGAATGATTTAATAATAATAATAATAATAATAATAATAATAAATAAATACAAAAGATGGAAAAAAAACATTGCAAACTGTATTTATTTATATTGCACAATAAGAAAGGGTTTGTGCACAATACTGAAGATGCAGGTACAGAGAGCAAAAAGGGGAAGAGCAGCAAATATTCCGGATGCTTTTTGGTCCAGCGAAGCATGTATGCGGTGCCCAAAATAACTCTTCAATGATTTTTTTTCTCATACAAATTAGAGACACACACTTCAAGAAGCACAAAGAGTCATCTCTATTATCAGACAGAAGGGGGCTAATTTGTTTTTAAAGAAAGATGTCAACAGCTTTAGGGCATCAAACTGAGATGCAGTAATAACTACAAATCAGATAAATTCAATAAAAATGTATTCAGAATTAATAAACTACTTATTTTCCCCTCGAAAGTGAAGATATTAAATGGATTTAATCAAAAAAAAAAAAACACAACAGAACTCTACCATGGCTCAAAAGAGCCCCTTTTATGGGTTTTTGAGAATGAACTTCCATGTAGTGTGTAACACACCTCTAATTGAAGTAAAATATCCAGCTAAGGCTTAAATCTAAGAGTAAACGGTGTTTAAAACTATTGATTCATTTATAAAAGAGTCGACTCATAGTGCTTCAAATGAATTGTCTTGATAACGAGTCTTTAACCATTTCGGCGTGATGTCGATACAAAACTTAAGCCCTACCTAACTGTTGCACGCGCAAACCTGGGAAAATTACAACTCGCAGCCCCGCC